CCTCTCGGATCATGACCTGAGCCAAAGGCAGACGCTTAACCAACTGAGCCACCCAGGCGCCCCAGAACTCAACTTTCAAGATCCAGCTCAGATAGCACTTTCTCTGAGAAGTCTTTCCTAAAACCTCTGTGTTGTTCATTGTTTCTCCATATTTCAACAGAGCTCATTGTATCTGCTTCTTCAAACACATGTACATACTGTACTGGAATTGCTTGTTTAACTGTATTTTTCTCTCTAGACTATAAGTAAATAAATACAAGACCTGTCTGGGTTTTATTTATTTTGTTATTCCCACTGCCTACCACACATTTATAGACAATTTTATATATTATATAACCTTATGTGTTATGAATGAAAGTACCAATTTCAAGATTATCCCTTGTTTCTTCTTCATCACACAATGCAGATTTGTCTATATTTTAGAAAATGATCAAATGCAGTTAAATAGCTGGCTATCTAGTCCACATGCCCAATTTTTATCACCATAGATTTTTAAAAGGATTTCTCCACCTACCATCCATTGCTTTAGCCCTACATAGACTAGAAATATGACCCACAGTCTTTTTCTGATTTTTATCCTTAGGCAATAACTTCCTACACTATTTTTATTTACCCAAGTTTATTTTCTCCCACTAAAGATCTGTCTGCACACATAGATCTACTGATAATGTAGGGTGGGAAGTGTTAAAGTCAACTGTAACTGGTGACCTGACCTATTTGTAATCTTTTTGAAGATAGTAGTTGGTAGTTTGAAATAATTTTTTTTAAATGTCAGTTTGGTACAACATCTGTAACACAGCAGTGGTGACCTACGTAGTGTGATCTCCAGTAGGTCGCCTGTGTCAAACCTCCCTCATGCAGTCGCTCACTATGTATGGAATCTTTTATGCATGTGTGGATACATCCAGCCTTAGGTCTTTGTGAACTTTAAAGCATTAACAATTGAGTTGCTAGATATGATGTAAAACATTTGTCAAAGTCATGTGCAAACACATTAAAATGCTTCAGGAAAGCCCCCTCTTAACACACAGTGAAAGGATTCTCATTTAAGCCAGGGGCAGGTCAGCGCGGCCGCTTCATGCCGTTTGTGCTTGGGAGGAATCTCCCGGGCCTCCGCGTGGAGCAGGACTGAGGTGCTGAGGCGCAAGTGGAAAGAGGTGAGGCGACTTGGCCGCAGCTACCAGAGCTGTGGAGAGACGTAAGGAGGGACCGGTCGCTGGCCGCGGTGCTGAACACGCTCTCAGGATGTTCTCAAGATGCCCGGCCGGAAGAGGCCCAGCGGGTTGGTGAGATCGCTGGCAGCCGCCAGTCTCAGATCTTAGGTTGTCAATTTCCTGGCTCCGGGCAGGAGGACATATGGGTCGCGTTCAGCGGCGTCCCCTCGCAAGTGGCCTCGGACGCATTTCCACGGAGCACAGCTCCTGCCCCGCAACAGCCACCACAATAACAGTAATGCAGCCCATATTTTTTTTTTATTGAGATCCAACTGTGTCCCCGACACTTCACACCCACTCCCACTGGTCCTCAAAACATCGTCGCAGTTTAAAATGAAAAGGTTGATGACCTTGCCCATGTGAACACAGCTACACAAAACTCAATGATGCCTCAAAAAAAATGTTTACTGCCCACCCTCCACGTGCCAGTCTCACAGCCTGTGCTCCTCCTTCTTTGCCTGCTACACGCTCCCACCAGGTCCCGTTCCTTTTGCTCCTCCTTCCCCGTCCCCCACCCCAGGTTTGCAGAAGACAAAGTAATCTCTTACACAACATATACCTTACCACCGCCGACGTGAAGGACTGTACAAAGGGCTGGCATTCAGAACAGAGTTTATTCACACATCTTGCCCTTCTCGCTCAGAAGTCCAAATCCGGAGGGAGCCCCAAGTTTAGTCCCTGAACCCCCAACTCTCTGTGTGACCTTGGACAAGTGGTCACACGACTTTGAGCCTGTTTCTCTTGGTTAACACGACCATAGGTTCTAGAACTGCCTGAGGTTCTTCCCAGGGGCGCACCGGTCTCTTCCCGGGTCGGAACACAAACACTAGGTCCTCCCCCACCCCCACCCCCCCGCCCCGTCCTATCTCCCTTTTGCAAGTCCAGTAGGGCACGATCGCTTCTTCTCCCCACCAGGTCCGTTACCAACCCTTAGTCCTTTTTGAGGAAGAACTCGGGTCCTGGCCACTAAAGCGTTCTCCCCGCCACTCCCACCATCCCCGCCCCCACCCCCGGGCGTGACCTGCCCTTCTGGACCACACTAACCAGACAGAGCCCAAGGCTGTAAAGAGAGCTCCTTTCGCTCTCATTTCGCAGTGCGGGGTCTCCGAGGCCGCCGCGCGCCAGGACGCTTTAGGAACTGCGAGATGCGGCTGGAGCAAAAACGCGCAGGCGAGGCAGGACTGGTGGGGCTGTCCCCGTGACAGGTACGCGACTACGGGCCAGCTAGGGGCTAGGTTTGGGGGAGATCGTGGGGAAAAACAGAGGTGCCAGAAAGACCGATGGGTCACTCTGTCCTCACCACCAGTGCGTGCGTGCGTGTGCGTGTGTGTGTCCCTCCCTTCCCCCCCTTTTCTCCCAAGCTCTCAATCTCACTTTCTCCCTGAGCTTCTGCCTCTCACTTCCCTCTCTTTCATCTCCAAGCATCCTCCCTGCGATCCAGCGCCGGCTCCTCGTTCGCACTCTCCCGCGCCTAAGGGGACCTTCTGGGGCCAGCCGCGGCCAGCTTCTCAGCGCAGTCGCATCCCAGAGCCAGTTAAGCTGAGCCGGCAGCATGTGGAACGCGACGCCGAGCGAGGAGCAGGGGTACAACCTCACGCTGCCGGACCTGGGCTGGGACGCTCCCCCCGACAACAACTCGCTGACCGACGAGCTCCTGCCGCTCTTCCCCGCGCCACTGCTGGCCGGTGTCACCGCCACCTGCGTGGCACTCTTTGTGGTGGGCATCGCGGGCAACCTGCTCACCATGCTGGTGGTGTCGCGCTTCCGCGAGCTGCGCACCACCACCAACCTCTACCTGTCCAGCATGGCCTTCTCCGACCTACTCATCTTCCTCTGCATGCCCCTTGACCTAGTCCGCCTGTGGCAGTACCGGCCCTGGAACTTCGGCGACCTGCTCTGCAAACTCTTCCAGTTCGTCAGCGAGAGCTGTACCTACGCCACGGTGCTCACCATCACCGCGCTGAGCGTTGAGCGCTACTTCGCCATCTGCTTCCCGCTGCGGGCCAAGGTGGTAGTCACCAAAGGCCGGGTGAAGCTGGTCATCCTGGTCATCTGGGCCGTGGCCTTCTGCAGCGCCGGGCCCATCTTCGTGCTGGTCGGGGTCGAGCACGAGAACGGCACCGACCCTCGGGACACGAACGAGTGTCGCGCCACCGAGTTCGCCGTGCGCTCCGGACTGCTCACCGTCATGGTGTGGGTATCCAGCGTCTTCTTCTTCCTGCCGGTCTTCTGCCTCACTGTGCTCTACAGCCTCATCGGCAGGAAGCTGTGGCGAAGAAAGCGGGGCGAGGCGGCGGTGGGCGCCTCGCTAAGGGACCAGAACCACAAGCAAACCGTGAAAATGCTGGGTGGGTCTCAGTGCGCCCTCGAGCTCTCTCTCCCGGGTTCTCTCCTCTCCCTTTGCCTTCCCTCCTTTCCCCTTCTCCCTGAGCCTCTACCTCCTTCCCCTGTTTTTCTCGGTCTCTATCTGCATGTCTATCAATGATTCTCTCCTGTTTCTGTCTTGAGCTCACTCTTTGGTTTCTTAGTTTCTCCGTGGTGTATGCGTCTCTCTCTCTCTGTGTGTGCGTGTATTTTGTTTTTTGCTGTTTTTCTCTTTATCTGTCTCCCCCCGCCCCGTCCCACTTTATCACTGTCTTCACTCTCTATTTTGCTCTCTACCTCTGTGTCTCTTTCTTCTAATGTCTCCTTTTTCAGGGAGCGATGCCCCTCCTTTGTATTTCCCTTAAATGAATTTTATCAGCCCAGAGACATTGCTTCAAAACTGAGATATTTCATAAAAGTCTACTGTGGTCTTTAAGTGTTAAAGGTGAGGTTAACCTTCCTGTCTCAATTTGTGGATATCTAAGTTGCATTTAAAAAGCATGTATGGGGCTGGGGGAAGAGGAGGCATTGGATCTAGAAAGTATTCCGTAGTGAATTTAACCAAAGATTTGATCAATGTGGATAATTCTGTCAGAGATGATTCATTTTTCTCTCAGTATTGTGGTATGCTTTCTGACCTGCATTTTTTTCAGATAATTGCATCCATTCTGTTTACCCTGCTGCTGTTTATATAGCTTTGAAAAGAAGTCAATGATAAATCAGTGCTGGAGTCTCCATTTGCTTTCAAGACCACATATTTCTGCCTGTAGGATAGTCTAGGATAAACTAGGATAAGCTAACATACGTGGGCTTCTCCCCAGCATGAGAAAAAAAGACTTTGTGTAAGCTGACAGGACTTACTATCCCACCCTAAGTGGTCCTTCAAAGAACATCTAGGTGCGGTTTTATGACTGGAGTGTACTGCATATTTAATACATAAATTTAAGTATATGTGTTTGGTACAAGTGAAGTAATACAAAATGTGTTCACATCCAAGCAAAAATATTAATTCAATTTGCTTTTTCAAAACCAGAATCTGTACATTTTATTATTCCTCATTATAGTCCAACATTTTGTATTTGTTTGCATATTTAGTGCTTCTTAGAAGTCGTTCCAGGTTGATTTTGTATTTGTCATTTTACAGTTCCTGGAATCCTGTATATTAAAGCGATACTGTTTTTTCAAAGAATGTAAAAAATTTTATTTTCTAGACCAGTGATTCTCAGAATATGACTAACAGATTGTAAACCTGCTAGTGCCCTCCAGGGCATTCTAATATTCATGTTGCTACCGTGGCAGTCAGTTGCTACTATGCAACTTCGTTTTGAGAATAAGTTTAATAATTTTCTCCAATTTTATTTTTAAGCTGTTAATTATCCCCATGGTGTCTCAACACCGATGTTAATTTTCTTTTGCCTTGACCTTATGAAGGGAAACACTAAAGTGGTACAAGGACCGAAGTATTATTTTCTGTTATTTTTACCTTTGATTTCTGAATTTTGAAAATTTAATGTAGAAATTCAGAGGCCTTGGACAAAAATGATCTTACCTGGGTAAAATGAAGACTCGGATGGATGATAATTAATGTTAGTGGGTTTTATGGTCTTTTATAACTTATTTATGTCTATCAGTAGGTGGCAAAGTATCATCCATCTCAGTGGTTCTCAATTCTGACTGCAAATTCAGTCTTTCATGAAACTTCAAAAAGAAAAAAGAAAAGAGAAAAGCCGGTGTGGTGTCCTGGTCTCCTTCCTAAAGATACTAATTTTGTGAGTCTGTATTACACACAAGGAATCTGTGCCCCCAGGAAACTCTGTTATGTAGCTGTGGTTGAGTATAACCACTGTACTTTATATGTGCTTGTTTGTATCTAACACGTGTGAAATGGTGGACTATTGTGAATAAATTGTTGGGTCAAAATGTCAACTTGGTCACAAAATCACTCAAGTAGTCATTAAACAGATATGATTGGGAAGCTCAACAAAAATGGTTGAACTGTTAGTCCAGACAGACCCAATCTTGGTTAAAAGTAGGAATAGGGAAAAGCAGAACATAATGTTTCTCTGAAGTCAATGGTGATACTAAACATAATCAAAACAAAGCTGTGTCTTCAAAATAGAATGTGCCTTGCTATGACATTTCTTGAGCTCACCCTCTCTCTCCTGTTGTCCTTTTAGCTGTTGTGGTGTTTGCTTTCATCCTCTGCTGGCTGCCCTTCCACGTAGGGCGATACTTATTTTCCAAGTCCTTCGAGCCCGGCTCCTTGGAGATTGCTCAGATCAGCCAGTACTGCAACCTTGTATCCTTTGTCCTCTTCTACCTCAGCGCTGCCATCAATCCCATTCTGTACAACATCATGTCCAAGAAGTACCGGGTGGCAGTGTTCAGACTTCTGGGATTTGAACCCTTCTCCCAGAGGAAGCTCTCCACTCTGAAGGATGAAAGTTCTCGGGCCTGGACAGAATCTAGTATTAATACATGACCAACCACATTTCTGAGCAAAGTCATCGCTTCTTCTAAACCAGAAGCCATAGCACAGCAGAACTTGGGAAGAAGTTGAAGGTTAATTTTGGAATTAAGAACACACAGCTCTGGAAACAATTGGGAGGAAAGAAAAGATAGAACTTGTAGTGTGTGAGCAGTTTGATTTGATTGCACACTCATCAGTGCCCTCATACACTATTTCTGCATACTCACTGGCTATGATTTTGCATTTTGGTGCTAGCAAGGATTTTGCAATTTGGAGAAAGGAGGATGTGCAGAGAGCATTTAGGGCACTTCTTACTAAGTAAATGCTAAATCTGATTTACTTTTTCATAATGATAAAAATTTTTGATTAAGAGAATGACATTAAAGTAAAACATTCTAAAACGTAACTTTTAAGTACTAGAAATTTTCATATAGCTCCAGATCAGTGCTGTCCAAGAGAAATATAACGCAAGGTACTTAATAGTCAATATAAAACTTATTAATGAGAATTTTACATTCTTTTTTTTTGCACAGAGTCTCTGAAATGTTCTTTACATTTGCAGCGCACCTTAATTTGGACATGAAGTTTTCACCAGTAATACTTGATGTATTTAGGTTTCGTAAAATTTGCAGATGAAAAAGTAGACTCGTAAGTCTAGTTGTCCAAACACACCTAAAAGATTTCCAATAACTAAAACTACTATAATTTTAAAAATTTTAAGTGAATTAAAATTAAAAAATTCAGTTCTTCAAGTTGCACAAGTCACCTTTCAAGTGTTCAACAGCCAAATGTAGCTAATGGTTACCATAATGGACAGTGTAGCTCTAGAGTATATGTAAAATTATTGTTAATCTTATAAAAATATTTACAAATAAAACTCATTCCCTGAAATGTTCTTTATAGTGAACTTAGTAGAATGTTAGTGCAATAAATCCTCAAAGTTACACCTAAATGTTCTATTCTTCATGCTTGGAAGAAAATGGATATGAAATATAAAATGAATTTTTAAATTAGGTTGAATTACATGTGTTAATATTCAGGAAATGAGACTTTACAAAAACTATAGACAATCACAAACTGCCTTATTTGGCATAATAAAAATACTTAAGCCAATCATAAGGTTTTGCTTTGTGAATAAAGGAATAATTTATAACTTACTCTGGAAAGCTTACAGGAACTTAGTGAATACAGACATTTTTCAAATGGTGAAAAATTCAGAATTCCTTAAATGCTACTGCTTATTGATATGCAAAACTTTAAAAAATCTTGTAGCCATTTATTTCAAAATGCCTATGCCATGTCCTGTCTCCAAATTAATTTTGCTATTTACATCCCACTGCTTATCTGATAGATATGTTTACTTGGATACCCAGTCTTGCTCTGAATCATACTTATGAATGATTAGACACCTTCAACTAAATGTTGAACATTTTGGTCATAAAACTAAAATTTTCATTTGTATTGACATTGCTCCCCCCATAGTCAACTCTTTGCATTATTAAATATATTATTCCAAAAATGATTTCTTCACAATCCTGTACAACATTAAGTCATATAAAGAATTCCTACATGAAGTTATTGGTTCAACAGCGGAACTGAATGGACCAGTTAGGTAAATTATTGCCATGACTGATTTTCTCCCCTACCAAAATAAAGATTATTATGCTGAAATAATTGACTATTTATCTTAGAAAAATGAAAAACATAATCATAAGTAGAAAGATTTCTGGAGAAAAATATTTTTGAAATCTTTCCTGATACTAAGACTGCACTATCCAGTTAAGCTAAATTCAGAACTTCAGCAAATTGTTTATTCAGTTAATTCTTGGGAGTGCATCAACATTTTAAAAAATACTCTAATTCATTTAAGCCTGTGAAATACTAATTAGGTCATTCGGCATTATTGTCCTAAATAGGGTCCAGCAAATCCCAAAGAGATAATTCACTTTCCTGAAATCTTAGAGTTTTTGTCTACAAGTATATCCTACTTGAGAGAAAACAAGCAAAGAAGGCTTGATTTCCATCACACAGTTGATTGCTTTGGAGAAAACCAAACCTAACTTTTAATTAGTTGCCTACCTATTCAATGGTTTCCCCTTTCTTCTGAGTTCAGGTCTATAATCTCAGCCTAATTCATTTATAGGGCATAGTTTACGTGGCAAGGACTACCAATGTCCTTCACTGGTGTTGATGAGAGAACTCAGAGATAATATTTAGAGAAATGGATCTTGAATTTGCCCTATCATTGCCTTTTTATTATTTATAACATCTTTGTATCATCATAAATGTTTAAGACTCAGGGAAAAGAGGAACTTAGAGGAAAATTGTTTCTAAAAGTCCATCATTTCACAAACATTTACTATGTGCTTGGTACGTTCTAAGCTCTAGAGACTAATAAGCCAAGGATTTTATCCTTAATGAGCTCATGATCACTTCTGTGTTATGTTGCAGTAGGTAATTAATAAATACTTTAAGTTATGAAATAAACATCTCTAGTTGACACTGGATCAAATGATGGTCCAGCATTTTAAGGGGCTATTCATCTCTCTGTATTGTTGTGTATTTGCCTCAAAATAAACTCAAAATGGGCTGTTCCTACAAACCAGTCAAATCTCTAGATGTGATTAGTGTGTCTGCTCGCAGTAGACACTCACAGCTTGCTTTGTTAATGTGAAGAAAGTAAAGGAATTGTTTTCATTTGTAATTCATGTTTCCATTTTCCTGGTAAGATCAGCAATGAGGTATCTCTCACCACACCTGACACCAGGTCACAGAATCAAGGGTTGGGTCTTTTTCGTTATACAAAGTGACTGTTATATGAGTAAGAACTTTTTAACAATTTCTTTAAAGAAAACATTCTTGCTATGAATCATTTAAAATCATAGTTTTGTGGCATTGACATTTAGAAACCCTTCTAGTGACTGGTCAGACCTTGGAAACCATTTATCTACGGTCAACTTTTTATTGCAGTGAAAGTCATAGCGATGCGATTAGACTTGAAACTCCAGCTTTTTCACTCTAATGCTTTTCTTAAGAGGCTGAAACCATTACAATTTACAATTATTAGTTGACATTGGCAATTTTAGCTGTAATTTTTTGGTGTTTCTCATTTATTGATACACTTGAATTTAGTTAAAAAAAATAATCTATGAGACTTTTTATAAGACCAGTGCCTGAAAAGACTCACTTGTCTTTTAAAAAACATTGTGTACATCTTTAAAATTGTGACATACATATGTACATACATCAAAGTTTCTTCTCACATTGTCTAATGGTGTAGAATAGAGCTTTCTGCTTTCAGAAACACTGTATCTAATGCAAATAATGTCGTTAAAGATAAAGATGTGTATCTAATGATCCTCTTATGATTTCTTTGCAATTTAAATTGCAACACTGGCCAGGATCTCTCCAGATATAACTTAACTAGATGATTAGTAACCGATGTTAATTCAGTGAATTGATAACACAATTTTTATCTAGAGAATGAGCTGCGAATCAAATCAACAGAAAGCAATGTGCTGGTGGTAAATGGGGGCCGCTTTCAGCTCACGTCGCTTATTTATTCATATTAAATGAATTCAGTTATGTTAATTTTTGGCACTAATCTAAATTTGAAACAGCTGAGGGAGAAAGTTTGCATAAGGCTTATTTTGTGTTTTTCCTTTTGAATGAAAACTCTCGCTGGGTGTTAGAAGCTAGCCATATTGGTTGGAAGAATTATCAGCCTTACAAAAAAAAAACCTGCCATGCTTATGTCCAACCCAGTTCCCTGGATATTTGCTGGAATTCCAATTAGTATTTTATGCTATGACATAGTATACTCATTGCACAAGGGGCTACTGATTAACCCCAAAACTGGCAAATTCCGTGAAGCCCCCAGAAAACATGCTTCACATAATTGCTCAGAAGGTTCTGCCGAAATGTTTACAGATGTTCCTCCCAAAAGAAGTCTCCCCAAGCCCATCTTCTCCCCCTAGCCCCACAGAAAGTATATGGAGAGAACAGTTTGAAAGATTTTCTGTGATTTTTAACATCTCAAATCCAAACATTTCTCTGGCTCAAACCACAAAAACGTTCATGGTTAACACTTGGAGCACTGCAGGTTTAGCATATTAGAGAGCACTTGCTCATATAAATACATCCAAACAGGGTGCCTGGGTGGCTCAGTTGGTTAAGCGACTGCCTTCGGCTCAGGTCATGATCCTGGAGTCCCTGGATCGAGTCCCGCATCGGGCTCCCTGCTCTGCAGGGAGTCTGCTTCTCCCTCTGATCCTAACCCCTCTCATGTGCTCTCTCTCATTCTCTCTCTCTCAAATAAATAAGTAAAATCTTAAAAAAAAAAAAAACATCCAAACAGCATCGTCTCCTATTTCACTGACACCTGCTGTATTCTAGGTATTAGAGAACTTACAGCTTTGTTGATTTGTATTTTACAATGTGTCATAAATGTCACTAGTGATATTTCAATTTGTGATTCTTTTTATTTAAGGTTTTTGTGAATGTTAAAGAGTTTATAGATGTCATGTCTTATGAAATTAGACACTGGTTTTCCTTCCTTTGTGTGTCCTAAACCAAACAATTGCTTAATAAATATATTTTTAAAGCCTATAGCAAATTTCTTCCATGTACAGTTATATATTTTGGTATCTGGGATATTTCAGCTTCACTCCTCTCCCAGATTCAGTTCTATTTTGTCCTTTTAATTTCTGAAATATGTATTTTGCCACTGTGAGGAGGCGTTTGTTATAGTGAATTTTATTTCCCCAAGGGTGCCAATATTGAATAATGAGTTAAACAATTTCTAGAAGAAGTGGCTTCCATATTAAGAAAAGTCAAGGACCCTGCAATGGACTGTGACCCCCATGCCCTCTCCACCTCTCTTCCCTTACAACCTGTCACCCCCAGAGTCAATGGTGTTGCAGCCTGCAACGTAGACCCAAAGACCACAAGCTCTTTGAGTCAAAGGAACAATTCCTATACATGTTCTATGTTGTAGTCAGCCACTCACTGAATGTTGGTTGGATAAATGAAGGTTTAAAGACTGGATTATGTGTCACCTGGGCATTGGCTTCTAGACATATGGATTCCAGGGGCCAATAAAATTTAAAAACTAAAATTGGAGGACCAATAAAGGTGGCCAGCTTCAATTTGCTGATTAAAGGAGTTTAAAATACCCCACTATCTATTGCCACCATCATTTCTACTTAAGAAGAACATTAGAAGTGAATAAAGGATAATCATAGTGTGAAAGTTCAATGTATTCTACATACCACAAAGTCATACACATATGCTGTTAACATGAGTTCATTACAACTTTACGGTATTATCTAAATTAAAATGTATAAATAACTGTTGGCAGTAATTACTAATACACTAAAGTAATCCAACATGGGA